TTTTTTTCTCCTAATAATGTATTTGAAGCCATTAAACTTTTCCCCAGGCCATTTAACTTATGTTAAAATATATCACTGACAGCAATAAGGACTATTTTTAAGAATTTCTCTGTCTCACCATATGAATGTTTGTCATGATTAAAAATTTTGTTTACAATCTGTAATAATTATTATGAAACTATTATCTGAACATTGACACATAAAAATCTTCAAATATCTGAGAAATATTTTTAAATACTATTAATATATATTTCTAGATAGTGAAACCACTTCAAGTGTGCTATAATTCTCTTAAAGACTAGGCAAAGTTGACAAAATATATAAGTATTAATTTTCCAAAGCAGATCAGAGCACAGGAAAAATAAAAACCTATCATTGAAAACAAAATTATGACACTTACAAATTGCCATATATCAATTAAATTTCCTATAGTAAAATACTATACTAGCTCTGAAATTAATTTAAAACTTACACCTCAACTAAATTTGAGGAGCGCATTGCCTCTTCCACTCATTTCTGCCCCCAATAGTAATTCACAGCATAGGATCTATTGTCTTATAGGGAAATGGCACGCTCCAAAGCAGGCACTCTAGGAAGCCAGTGAACTACATGCACATGTTTACATATTATATGAATATATAAATGTAGCTATAAATAAATGCTATACCAATTCCTAACTCATTTGCAAAGTATTTATAGGGTAAAGGTTTACTATTCAGGCTCCTTTAATTGACTTACTCTTCCAATTAACCACACCTGGAGAGATTATTTTGCTTACTGTGCATGCACAAAACTGATTCATATAATTTGACCTTTCCCAACCTTCTCCTTCTCTCATGAAAGCCAGACACCTAAGGGCCTTTAAAACCTAGACCCAAAGACTTGTCTAGACCATAGGGGCTAAATAAAATGTTCTAGAAAGTTTGTGTGAAGAGCAGAATGGGGATCAGCAAACTGTGGGTAGCAGTCCAAATCCTGCCTGCTGCTTGTTTTTATACATAAAGTCTACACGAGATACCCTGGACCACCACACAGATGAACAGGAAGGTCTCAGAGCAAATCAAGCCTGAAACACTGATGGAGGCAAAAATGACAAAAACCGAAGCTGTCCTACTTCATGCACATCATGAGAAAGCAGTTTCTTTGGAAAAGACAATAATGCTGGGAAAAAATAACAGGCAGCAGGAAAAGAGCGAGACCAAATATGAAATGGACTGACTGTACAATCAGCCATAGGAGTGCGTCTACAAGAACTGAGCAGGGCTGTTTGTCACAGGACATTGTGGACATCACTCATTCGGAAGGTCACCAGGGGTTGGAGCCGACTCAAGGGCACATAGCACATAGAGAACGCCCTGTGCCCATTTGTTTACATAGTGTCTATGGCTGCTTTTACTCCATGATAGCAGAGTTGATCAATTGCAACAGAGACCATTTAACCCCGGAATCCCCAAAATATTTACTACCTGGTCCTTTACTTGAAAATTCTGCCTATATTTTAGAGGATCCCTGACATCAAATGTCAGTTTTATAACAGTATTTCAGTGAATTTGGGGATAACTTAGGTAGAGCAAAGGAATAAACCATACAAGAGAGCGCCCCCATTCCTCCCATCTCCAAGTACAGTGAATCCAGAGTAGTTTCTCCAAGTTATTTCATCTGTTGCTATAGGTCTAAAGTGTAGGAAAAAAGTTTGAAAGTACATGCATTATAATGTTATTGTTTCTAAAAGAAGGAATACTACTGTGAAGATTCAGGAACCAAGCTTATTTTATAAAGCACACACAAAAACACACATTTGTATCTTTTAAAAGGTCATCTGACATTATATATTGTAATGTTGAGCAGTTCATTGATTTTTTTCCCCTCACCTACTGGATTTCGAAGTTTACTATGGAGTCCATAAGACATATATAAGAAAACTTTCAAGATTCAATTTAAATCGTGACATGACAATACTTTCAAAAAAGGAACTGATAAAAAAGATCCAAACCAACAGGGTAAACAAGATTGGAAGACTATTATGTTTGAGTTATCTGTTCTCCATGTTACACATAATCCAGGATAATGTGTACTAAGGAATGCATAAATAGCAATCAATTTTCCTGAGTTACTTTATATTTTTAAAATTAAAATATGTATTTTGATGGCACAATTAAATATAATGAAACTGATTGGAAATCAGATTTTTAAAAGCACTTTGCATAACCATTTTTTAATTAAAAAATTTAAAATAAGAATTATTATCCATAAACATCAAGAAAAATTACAAGAAAATCATCAAACACTAAAACTGTTATCTTTATAATTTCTGTCTCTAAAATGAAGTGATATAAAAAGAAAAGCCAATGAATGACTCAGCAACTCTGATTATTTACTTTCCAACCACTCACTGCCTTATGCAAAATGAAGTATTTTCCCAGTACCTACTGCTCTTTATAGACAAGATAATTTTATAATCTGAAATGTGTAACTAATATTTCAGAATACTCTTTGAAAACCAGAATAGATAATATTTCTAGAACTAATTTTTCAGACCAGTTAATTAATATAAGAATCAGTTTTAAAAATTAGTTGCAACACTTCAGAAACAACTATATTATAAAATCTGACTGGTTATTTCAATGAAAAGGACCAGACATTTAGGAATTAAAAAGAGACATTTAGATCAGTCACATCACATTTTATGATTCATCATTTTATGAATAACAAATTTGCATAATGCAATAATATGAAATACAGCCAAGGAAATTTGATCATTTTATAATTATACTAGAGGCCCGGTGCACGAAATTTGTGCACAGGTAGGGTCCCTAGGCCTGGCCTTCCCCAGCTGCCAGCTGCCGGCTATGACCTTCCTTCGTTCCACACCACCCCCAGTGGCCAGTGCACATCATAGCGAGTGATCGAACTCCTGGTCTCTCGGTCGAACTCCCGAGGGGACACTGTGCATATCAGCCTTTTATATATATAGATAAATAGTTTTAGAAAAATTGAGACCCTTCAATATATATAACCATCAAACCTATCTGTGTTACAGATTAGCTATTTAAATTACATCAACACAAAAATGCTTTAAATAATGATATTTTACTGTTTCCTGAAACCACACCCACTTGGCAGCTGAGCTCCAAAAATACTTGTACAGAGATGCTTCAGTGATTCAAGACAGTTCCTGAGGTTTGTTCCTCTTGTTTAATAACTGCATTATCTGTGTCATTATTTATTGATACATAAAATAAATGTATTACTATCACATATATATAAAGACCTTACAATAGGCCTTAAACATTTACTTTTACTAACATTACTTTTATATATTTTTATGTTCAAATGTATTCAAAAGGTCCTAATGTATACATAGTTTTAGCATCAAAACAAAAAATCTTAAAACAATTAAAGTTCAATAAGTTTAAAATAAGTTCCAATAAATGATATAAAATATTTATATCCACATTTTAAGCATTTAACATGCTACTAATCTATTCATAAGACAGCTAGAAATACAAAAGGATGCTAAAATTGAACACCAATTTCTTATAAAATTACTTGGGCTAAAAACTATTTTGTTTCTAACAATATGTTATTCTTGGAAACAATATATGAACCAACACGGTAAGCACTTGAAAAATAATTCAAAATATGAATTAAATGCTCATTTATAAAGGGAAGCATAAATAACCTAAAGGATGGCATTCAGCAAATTGATGCAGAAATTTCTAGTGGCTTGCTCAAAGCCACTGAACTAATTATAGAACAAAATAAATTCTGAGCACTTTCAAATTCTCCCAAGCTTGCCTGACTGTGGTCTTTAATAACAGTTACAACCACATCTAAGTAGACACAAAACCTCCTCTATTTTACTGCAGAATATCAGTTTTCTGTTCTTCAACCAATCAAGTGCCTCTTGCCAGAGGACAGATAAAAAGCGGCAATGGCAAAGGGGGATGAAAGACAAGGACAAGGGTCTGCGGGAGGAGAGGCAGAGAAAGGACAAGAAGGAAAAGTATACTCCAGCAGACATGCACAGGCCTTCTTGGCTTCCTTTTTGGCACTGTTCCCAAGCCTAAACTCTAGAAAAAAGCTCTCAGCTCTGATTCAGACTCCTCCAAGTTTCTCACCTCCGGGGTCATGGTCAGGGCCTAGAGGTAAGTGAGGAAGGCTTACTCTCAACAAGCTGAGTTGGAACTCTGAATGGTTTTGCATTAAAACTTAGTTGTATAAAATGACTAAGTTGCAAGCTTGTGATTTCTATCCTTTTTAAATGTTCTTTGAAAATATGACTGGTTGAGAAAAATAAATGCCCTCCAAATTTTACATAATTTCAGAGTTCGTACTTTAGCATAAGAAGCCCTTGGTCCATGGTGTTATCATTACTGAATGTTAGAAATATTACACACCAAACAGGCTTCCCTGTCGGCTGAAGAACAAAAGACTGCAGTATTTCTTTAAAGGGGAAGTACGAGTTCAAAACAATGGTTTTATAAACAAATTTCTCAAACACTACCCTATCACAAGATAGATCAATGTATTTCTATCATAATTTCATCTAGATATATTACAAAGTAATTGAATATTTTTAATAAAGTCCCTTGTATGCTAACAGGTATCAACCTTGTGTGACAACTGAAGAGGGCAGAACTACTAACTTACTATCCCAAAAGTATAAAACCAGTTCCAGGAAAGCATCTCTGTATTTTCAGAAAAGGGACTTGCATTATGTTTAATGAATGATAATTACCCTATTAATAAGTGACAGAAGCATAAGATTAAAAAATAAGTTATTTCATTTATTGATAACTTACTATAGATTTACAAAGAATAAAAGTTATATCACAGAACAATTTTTATGTTAATTTCTTTTCTCATTTTATACCACATTGACTTTTGCTGCATTCAATTAGAACAATTTAGGGTCAATGAATACTACTGAGGAACAGACATGTCACATATCTATTTAGAAGTGCTATAAAACCAAAACTATATATATAAATACTTACTTATCAAAGCTATCACTATTTTTGATGAAGCTCTCCAGTTTTTCCTTGGCATATTCCACCACATCTGAATGAAGCTCAATCCCATGATTTATTCCAAAAGGACCTGAAATCGTAGCAGCACTTTTATTTAAAAAATAAATAGTAAGTCATTACAGAGTTTAATTTTTGCTCATTTATCACAGGAACATTTAAAGAGGGTTTGAAATATGTGAATATCTGCTAGCCGTAGATTTAAAAAGCTACATGGAAATCTCAGAATTTATACTGTTTTAATTAAAAAACAAAAACAAAATAATGCTTATTTGTCAAGACAATACTGACAAATAAACAGTCACATACTGTATGAAGTTTTAAGTTCTTTTATCGTTGGTTAAAAATTTAGTAATTCTAAAATCTCAAAACCATGGGCTATTAGATACTATAAAAATATCTACAGGATCCCACCACTACCCAGTGACTGCTAACTTCAAGGGCCAAGACCACATTCTATGTCTTCTGGAGCTCCCATCGTCTCTAGCAGAATGTGGCTATCAGTCAACTTTTTACAGAGCTGATTTTACTCTCCTGTTCCATACTTCACACTTCTCACTTGGTATATCTTTTTACAGAAAGCCAAGGATGAGTAACATTCCAGGAATGAGAAAAATGGGAGAGCTTTCTCAGCCGCTGAAGATTTTGGGATGGCTCCTTTCCCACCCTGGTTACCAGCTTACTGACAATATGACTTAACTGGATTCACATTTCATAGGCTACGGTTACTGAGAATGCTGCCTGCCCCCCCAACCCACAAATCCATCCAGTTATACTACTTATTTTTGAATTTCTGAAATTGAGCCAACCAGGTTTTCTACTCTACATTTGTTATATTAGTTTAGAGATTGGTCTCCTAGGAGAAAGTGTATAGCTTGTGCTTGTGTATGTGCTATTTATTTTTTCTATCTTATATGATCGTATGTACTGTACCTTATATCTATCATAGGAACTACTTAACTGAATGTGCACCCTACTGACTGTCATTAAAAATACTATATTGGAATTTTAAAATAACAATAAAAATCAGTCACCAATTATCATGCTTGAATATTTAGAAGGCACATAAAAATGGTTTGTGACCTAGAAACTACCTAAACTATAAAAATTAAACCAAAATGTTCATAAGCTATCTTAAAACCAAAATCAGATAATGCTTTAACCTACTATATTTCAATCACATTGCATTTGATTATTTTAAAAAAAATTCTGCCTGGCCAGCGTGGCTCACTGGTTGAGCATCAACCCATGAACCAGGTCAGGTTCAAGTCCTGGTCAGGGCGCATAGCCAGGTTTCAGGCTCCATCCCCAGTAGGGGGTGTGCAGGAGGCAGCTGATCAATGATTCTCTTTCATTATTGATATTTCTTTCCCTCTCCCTCTCCCTTACTCTCTGAAATCAATAAAAAATATTTTTTTAAAGGAGTCAAAGAAAAAAAGTAAAAGATTTAAAAATAAACAACATAATTCTAATAGAAAGGTACAAACTGCCAATAGAAAAAAATGAAACTGTATCCAAAGAAGTGTTAACACTTTCTAATATTATCTAACAGATGGAGTTTGTAGTCAATAAATTTCAATGCTATTCTGTATCTGTTAATGTGAGATATTTTTTCTATGAAATAAATGCTTAATTTTTGTAATACATATTTTACAAAATGAAACTTATAACAGTTGACCACTATCTTTAATGGCTAAATATTAAAGAGAAAATAGAAACATAACAGAAGTCAAAGCTTATTAAGACAAATATACTTATTAGAAAAATCTAGGTATCGTATATGTTAGAAATGATTTTTTTTAAGGCTGGCAATAGCCCATTTATTAAGAGCAATAACAAATATAATATGATACCAATATAATAAAATCTAGTGACTGTTTTTCTTTTATAGTAGTTGGACCTAATCTAACTCATTTATCACCTACCAGTTAGTCAATAATCAAAGCTTATACATAAAGGTCAATAATTATTAGGTATAGGTATGAAGTGTCCATCTACATTTCTTATTTACATCCATATTGACCCCAAACAATACACAATGCCCCAGTTTCCCCCTACTCCAAGTACCCCAAAAGGCTGTATGAGTGTGATGTGCGTGGTAGACGTCTTCATGAGGAAGGCCAAAGAAATCTGAGAGCTTTGTTTGACATTTCAATGCAGTCATCAGTACCTTCAGAATTGTCAAGCTAATTTACAGAACATAGCCACAAGCAAAAAGTACTTCATAATACATAACTAGCAGAGCTCTAAAGACGAACTAATTCAAGGTCCACCATTTCAACTGAGGACTCAAATCTAAACACTGTGGGTGGTGAGAAAGTGAATTTAAGGGCAGATGTCTAGTGTCCAACTTTGGTTCCTCCTCTTAACAGTTGCATAATTTGAGATCAATCACTTGCCATTTGAAGTCTTTCCTACAGTATAAAATGGGTCCCTAGGAAAGCATGTAAATTATGTAAAAGTGCTTCATATACTATACAGTAAAAGATGGGTACAAATTGTTAGGACTTAACATGTGTGCCCTTCTCCTTGTATACAGAACTGGTTGGTTGTGGAAGCAAAACCATAACCGACATATGGTTCTCAACCCTGATTTCATATTAGAACTAGAGGCCGGTGCACAAATTCGTGCACAGGTGGGATGCCTCAGCCTGGCTGGCGATCAGTGCCTATCAGGGACTGTCTCGCCCAGTCCCGATTGGGGCCGGGGATCAGGGCTGATCTGGGCTGGCCAGCCAGGGGGAAGGGACCATGGGAAGTTGGCTGTGGGAGCACACTGACCACCAGGGGGCAGCTCCTGTGTTGAGCGTCTGCCCCATGGTGGTCAGTGTGTGTCATAGCAACCAGTCGACCAGTCATTTGGTCATAACGGTCACTTAGGCTTTTATACTAGTATATAGATATAAGTGCTATTTTTATTACACTTGAATCTTAGAAATGATTACACAAAATCTGAAAGTGTTAAAGAGTCAGAGATGGACTCAAACCCTTATGTAAACTAAATGTCTAAAATATTGAAATATCATCCTAGCCAGTTTGGCTCAGTGGATAGAGCATGGGCCTGTGGACTAAAGGGTTCCGGGTTCAATTCCGGTCAAGGGCACGTACCTTGGTTGCAAGCTCCTCCCCACCCAGGCCCTGGTCAGGGCTCGTGCAGGATGCAACCAATCGATGTGTTTCTCTCACATTGATGTTTCTCTCTCTGTCTTTCCCTCTCTCTTCCACTCTCCCTAAAAATCAATGAAAAAAATATCCTTGGGTGAGGATTAACCAAAAAATAAAACAAAAATGTTGAAATATCAACGAAAGATCATATATTGTATGATACCATTTATAAGAAATGTACAGAAACTTGGCAAATCTATGGAGACATAAAGTAAATGAGTGTTTGTCAGGGGCTGGGGTAGGGGTAGGAATGGATGCAACTGGAAATTGGGGGTCTTCTTTGGGGCAATGGAAGTGTTTTCAAATTTGATTATAGTAATGCTTACACAACTCTGCAAATTTACTAAAGCTCACTGAATTGAGTGGGGCTAAAACGAAAGTGAAAACATGAGTATCTGAGGTCTCTGCCCTGAGGTTAAGAGAAAGCGTATAGAGACCAACCATGATGGCAACATACAGCTTAACTAATTAGCTGTTTTGGACAATATAACAGTTGTTGGTATTTACATATGTTGGCAATAAGTTTCCTGTTAAGCACACAAGCTTATGAAGTGTTTCACCTTTAGGAACTAGCATAGTGCTGAGGCAGTGAAATACAGTGTTGGAAAGATTCAGGCAGTCTCTCCACACTCATTCCTATTAACTCAGCAACTAGGGAAGAGACTAAGCTGATGAACCTTGATATTATAGCGAAACCCTAAACAGAAAGGATCAGAATAGAGAAGAACTATACCTACCCGAATCAGAAAGATTATCAGAATAACTTGCCATCACAGTTCTGATATTTAACTCAACTCTGGGAAGCAGAGGACTTGGGAAGCTTCTTTTCTTGTACCCTATTTTGCAATGGGGTTCCCTAGCTAGGTATGATAAGATAATACTGAGAGAATCAATTAAATACAAGAATCTTTGTGAAATTCCTTAGTTCTAGGAAGACTCTTAATGAGAAGAGAATGGAAACAAGAAGAATTTATCTTCAATTGAAACTCAATAAGCTGTCAAAATGAGATGATCTGGGGAAAATATGAATTTATGAATAACTGCTTTAAATGAACTTTAATCGCAAGAAATTTCCTCAAGATAAACCTAACTTTCCCACACTGAATAACAAAAGCTCTCTCAAGATGATAACCCAACCTTTACAGGTGTGTTTCTGAAGTGCTAATGGAAATTCCTCAAGGAATACAGTGGGGCCTTGACTTACGAGTGTCCCGACTAACGAGTTTTTCGAGATACGAGCCGTCTCTCGGCCGATTTTTTGCTTTGAGTTTCGAGCTAAAATTCGAGTTACGAGCCAGCTTCAGATACCCACTGCTAGTCGCAGCAAACCTCACAGTGAACGCCACATCAGCCCAGCATCACGTGTCTCACTCGTTCACTTTAAGATTTGACATACGAGTAATTTGAGTTACGAGCTCCGTCACAGAATGAATTAAACTCGTAAGTCAAGGCCCCACTGTATCTTCTTATCTGTATGATCAAAGCACAGACCCTGCTCTCCCTTCCTCAGCCTGGATTCCTCTAGATTACAGAGTAAGCCCTCAGATAAGAACCACTTCCAATGGTGAGCACCTGTCATCCGCATCTTGTGACTGGGAGAGAAACATGGCTGAGAGCCATGGTGTTACAGCTCCTTAATAAGGAGAGAACTTCTGTTAATAAGGTCACTGTGAAGCAAGAGAGCCACAGCTGATTCACCATACTCAGATAATTACGGGAAGCATACAACATCCTTTTTTGGGTCTAGTTCTAAGTGATTTTTATGGATGAATCCTCCCTTCCTTGACTTAAATGCTCTCAAAATACAAACCAAAAAAGGGAGACGGTTTAAAAAAAATAAAACTTCCTCAGAAGTTGGATAGATCTAATATTTATTAGCTGTAATCATAGTTTTACAGACTCTATTCTTTCTTCTTTTCCTTCTTTAAAATGTTTTTATTTTATCTTTCTTGCAAAATAAATTATTTCCCATCAAAAAGAGAGGAACTATATCTTAGTCTTAACTGTGCAGGATCACACACAGTAAATCTTAGATTATCTAGTAACTATAGTCATACATGTAACTAAAGACTCTTGACTCCCTGGAGACTTGTAACAGGAGGAAAACATCGAGTGCATTGTGGCTCATTTACACAAGGGTCTGTTTCCCCACACTGGTCTCTGGTATGGGTTAAAAGACATTCAAGATACAATGAAGTGTGAGGTTACCCTACAAATGCATCTGGCCACAGATATCTAATCTCTTGGCAGACTGGGACTAAGAAATGGAGTTTAAGAGGGCCACCTCCCTGCTAGCAGGGTTACTAAACACTACCCTCTCCCCCCAGCCAGGCCTTTGGCTAGACCAGTGGTTCTCAACCTTCTGGCCCTTTAAATACAGTTCCTCATGTTGTGGTGACCCCCAACCATAAAATTATTTTCGTTGCTACTTCATAACTGTAATGTTGCTACTGTTATGAATCGTAATGTAAATATCTGATATGCAGGATGGTCTTAGGCGACCCCTGTGAAAGGGTCGTTCGACCGCCAAAGGGGTCGCGACCCACAGGTTGAGAACCGCTGGGCTAGACTGACCTTCAGCAGGAACCAGTCAACAGGGTTGGAGAAGTGGAAGACAGGATAACAGGTGCTCTGAGGCTGGCAAGACATGGTATGAGGCCTGGACTCCAGTCTAAAGTTGCCAGAACTAGTCAAGAAATGCACTGACTCAAAGGTAACTTTTGAAAAGAAACTCTACCTGCACTCCCCACTAACTTGCTTTGGTTTGGAGACTGTCTCGAAGCCTAGAGATTCCTTTGTCGAAGAGGCACTAGTGATACAAGTGATAGATGTGTGAGGTTCCCAACCTGCAGAGAAACTCCTGTCTCAGGGCAGCCGGAGAACCAAATGCACATGTAAGCTGCTAAATTTCTGTCTTGGTAAAACTTAATTATTTGCTACATTTTTGAGGAATTATTATTTATCAAAAACTCAATTGTGGGAGGAAAATTCTCTATTTTTTTTTTTTAATGAAATAGATTGCAGGTTCCATGATTAAGAAACGAAGGAGCTAGCCAGTGTGTAGGAAAGGAAAATTTCAGGACTAAAAATGCCTTAAATGTCATATGTGACCACACAATTTATTGCTCAAAATGGGATACTTTGGGAAAGAAAAGAACATTATTGATGATGCTAGGACCACAGGGATGAACAAGGACTGTCCCAGCATACTGGGACCTAGTTACCCTAGCAGGGGTGGGAACCTTTTTTCCGCCCAGGGCCATACAAAATTTTCAACTTAAACATCAGCCTGCTATATTTTGTCAAACGTTTAATTAACTCACCCCTGATGCCTTGGCAGGGCCAGACCAAATGATTTCAAGGGCCTTACAGGGCCCATGGGCCAGGTGTTCCCTACCCCTGCTAGAGTATAATCAGAGATTCTCTATTCAAAATCTTTCAATGATTCCCCATCACTTTAGAGCAAATTTTAAACCAGTCTTATCTCTATTACTTGGGCATACAGTATACCTCAACTACAGCACGTATCCCATTGGATGAGAAGTGTTTTGTCTCTCCCCCCCC